TCCGCTTGTGAAAAGTTCTGCTCAAGTCTTGGCTATTGAACAGCGAAAATCGCAGGTCTCTATCTCATTCCTATCAAAAGTTATTCAAAAAGTGGCACCCGGCACTGTATTTTGGTATGGATAGTAGAAGTAAATGGATCTGCAATCTATCTATATTCATCTTTTACTCTTAATCTTTGTGTTTTTTTTCTAAGGTTATTCGGTATAAATCTCACAATTATCGTCTACTTCGTGCGAATGCTGGTCATTTCCGTTATGATTCGACAAAAGAATATTTAAATTTTGAATACTTTCGAGTAGAAGAACGACCACGAGTACTGTATATACATCCGAAATACGGTAATATACCCCATCTTTCAACACATCAAAATATCAAGATTTTTAACCTAATTTTAGATATACCTGTTTCATCACAATGGTATCCAAAAGGTCATTTATATCCAACTCAAATAGCTCAATATGGTCTAAGTCATTATAGCCAATGGATTAAAAAACAGCAACACAAACAAATATCACATGATATTCATAAAATGGATGAATTAATATCGGGTAAGATAGTTGAAAACAAACATATGAAAAGTCGGATTTCATAAAGAAAATAGTTTTATCTTACTAAGCTCAACTAATTCATTAAACAAAAGTTAATTTCTACATATTTCAAATCGTCGTTATCCTTTTCCCTATCTCTAAATAACTAAACAAACAATAAAATATTTTTCTAAAAACAGAGTTACCAATCAGAGATGATAGGGAGAAGAGAGTGAACTCTATTAACGAAAAATTATGGTCAAAATGTTTTCTTATTACAGAAATACTGTTTCATACAAGATTCGATGGGCTTATTTAGAGTATCGCATTTGCTTTTATTTTAAATAATTTTTTTTTTCTGAAAAATTGTAAAGTTTTTAGAAAACTTGTTGTAAGATTCAAAAACATAGACGTATGTTTTTGCAAAGTTTCAACCAAAATTAAGAACTAAACAAGAATAGAAAAACTCAAATAACATTGTTCAAAATGGCATGGAAAAAAAACCATGCCTTTGTTGACTAGTCTGAGTATTTTTTTAATCAATATTCTACAATGAATTTTTTGATCGTTTTAGTACAAATAAAAAATTTCTATTTATATGAGAAAACACGGCAAATACCTAAAATTTCAAAGTAATAAACATGATGAAAAATAAATGTTTTTACTTTTGAACTGAATACCTACACAAATGTCTATTGTAATGAAAGATTACATTCATTTTTCTATATATTTAGAAGTTGGTTCATGTTCAAAATCGGTCACATTTAATGTTTCATTGTCATACAGTTTTGTTAATTTCAATTTGTTATCATTCTCATTTAATTGTTCGATTAATTTTCGTTTTTTTTTTAATGGTCATTATTATAAACTTATGTATTTTACAAAATCTACTCTTTTACCATTAAAAATTCGTCAATATACAATTATCTATGGTTTGAATATAACATCTGATCGAAAAATAAATCGTAATTTAAAAATTGATTTAGAAAAAGCACTTAAAATTAAAATCAATGAAAAATATATTTTATTTGATGTTCAACTATGTGAACAATGTAAAATTAAACAATTTTCAATTGGTAATTTGACTTTGTATAATGAACAAGCATTTTTTAAATCAGCTGAATGGTTATTAACAACTCAAAATGACATAACTGGGTGTTGGTATATGACAATAGTAAGACAATTTGCTCAGGATTATAAACTAAATCCAAATTGGTGTTCATCAATGTCTCAAGGATTAGCAGCATCGTTATTCATAAGAATGTATTCATTAACGAATGAAAAAAAATGGTTAAATGGTGCTTTACAGGTCAGTATAAGAAGCAAAAAGTGTTTTTGATGCAAGAGAAAAGTTTTTGTCAATGAAACAGTAGAAAACTCAGATTGCGAACTGATAATTTTAATATCATCGTAGTATAAGTCGATGCAAATAAAATTATACACTACGATTTTACTACACAGTTAATCATGATTAGATAATCGCGATTAACTTGATGCATGATTGAAAGATTTCAATTCAGAAATAGCGTGACCGCTTTATCATCAGTGAAAGAATGTTGTCTTCTATTTCAGGTGTACTAAAAGTTCCGAGATTTTTAAAAGAAAATTCAAAGAAACGAGTTGATCAGATTTTTACTTTTGCACATGTTCGAACTCGTAGTTATAATTAATCACACACGATGATCCTTTTCAAATCATTTATCAAAAAAATTTTTAAATCATTTTTAGTCAATGAACTGCTACTGGTGGTTATGGTAGTCGATGCAAGAATTGAGAGCTTATTTGATGATTGAATTTTGTTTGATGAGATTAACTAAAAGAACATGGCAATTATATGATGTGGTAACCGATCAAGAGTTCTGAATTTCTCGTAAATAAATAGGTCGAAAGTTAACAAATGTCACCTACACGGCAGCTGGAGAATCTACACCAATGACGGTTCGGGAAAGTAAGATCACATATTGTATCGTTGCTAAGATAACTACTCTCTAAAAAAAAGGTGCAGGGTAGAACCTTTTAGGGTTTCAGAATTGGGTACCATTAAATTCATAAAATGGTACCAATTCTGAAATCCTAAAAGGTTCTACCCGGCACCTTCTTTTTGTAGAAAGTAGTCTAGTTCTCTTAAAAACAATCAAAATGTAGGGATAGGGCAACCAACCTGTCAATCACTGACATTATATTAATAGCTTTTTAACTATTTGACAATGGAATCAGAAAGCAGATACAAAAGTCTAGTATTCGTGATATCAATTCTCACTACGACAACGCTCGACCGCATACTCATAAAAATATTTCTAACTATCTTGAAACAGCAAATATCATAATTATACTATAATCACCTTATTCTATGGATCTAATAACATATGATTTTCAGTTGTTCAATCTCATCAAACAAAGCTCAATCATCAAATCAGCTCTGAATCCTTGCACCGAATACCGGCAGCAGTCTGTTGACTAAGATGATTTGAAAAGGATCATCGTGTGTGACTAATTATAACTACGAGTTCGAACATGTGCAAAAGTAAAAATCTGATCAATTCTTTTCTTTGAATTTTCTTTTAAAAGTCTCGGAAAGTTTAGTACATCCTAATTAGGAGCTGAAAAAGCCAATGGCATCTACAAATGTTTGATCAATAGTAAACAATGAAACCCTCTAACAGGCTTAGTTCTCTTATTATATGTTGTCTTATTTTTTCTAGGCTATAAAACCATTCTTATCAAACAGTACTGCAGTAAAACGTTATTATGATGGACGATATTTATGGTTAGAAGAATATCCATTAGATAGAAATGATAGTAGGAGTCTCTATGTATTAAATGGTTGTCTATATTCACTATTAGGTTTAATTGATGTTCATACGTACGTTAAACAAGATCAATTCATTTTTCAACTTTCAAAATCTCTACGCTACATGTTACCATTGTATGACACAGGTAATTGGTCATTGTATGACTTAAGACATTTAACATTTAAAACAAAAACAATGAAGAATTTTTCTACATTTGACTATCATCTAGTCCACATTATTTTACTTAGAATTTTAAGTCAGATAATAAATGAGCCATTTTTGGAATATTTTGCTGAAAAATTTGAATCATATATTTTGTAAAATATTTTTATTTTGATAATAAATTGTTGTACTAGCTTTTCTTAACAGTTATTTCTAATAAATTGTATTATATTTAATGTATAAAAAAGAATCAAAGTCATGCTACTATATTCATTTCTTATTATTCTCTAATGTTGTTTCGATGTCCAATCCTACTTTAATTCCATCTAATACTCTCTTTTGTTCATCACTTGTTACCGATCTCATTGGATTTCTTGCTTTTCCACCATAACCTCGTACTTTTTCAAGAGCACTCTTTAGTCCAGATACACCATAGAAACGAAATAGTGCATGATCGGATCCAATTAGTTTTTGTTGTAATTCTTGTACTTCTTTAATTTTACCTTCATTCCATAAGTTTTGTAATTGAACACATGCACGTGGTGCAATATTACCAAATCCGGGTACACATCCATGAGCACCGACAGCCAAAAATGGAAAAAATGAATCAGCTGAACCGGCCATGATTGTAAAATCCACTTCATGCGTATGTTCAACGAGATAACCTGCTTTTCCAACATTTCCATCTGTACATTTAATACCGACAATATTTGGATGACGTGCTAATTCAATGATAGCATTTGCATCAATATCAATTAATTGTGTTACACCTGGATAATTGTAAATAATAATTGGTATTGGTGCTTGATCGGCTACACTCGTATAAAATGTTTTAATAATATTAGCATCTGTCCATGCCAAATAATAACTTGGTGTTAAAACAAGTGCATATTGAGCTCCGGCATTAGCAGCCTCCTTGATTAATTGTACAGTACCACGAACAGATTGTGCTGAACAGCCTGCAATGCTTTTCAATGTTGGATACTTTTCCTTTATTAATTTTGAACCGGTTCGTATTACTTCTACTCGTTCCTCATTGGATAAATGAACAGCTTCACCTGTTGAACCAAGAAAAACAATGCCCATTATTCCACTTGAACAAAGATAGTCAACGTGTTTTTCTAATGTTGGTAAATCTAGTTCTTCATTGTCATCTTTAGTAAAAAATGTTGGCACTGGTACATAGACACCAGATGATAGATGGCCTTTTTTATTTATTTTAGTTTTATCCGATGCAGACATTGTTGGAAATAGATCTAAAAAAGAGAATCGAAACTCTGTTTTTTCTGTGAAAATGATGATATGACGAAGTTCAATTCGATTTTGTATACTATTAGATAAATCTCTTGAGAGGTGACCCTCTAATTCGACTTATATCTACTAACATATAGATTGTATCAAAGAAAAAACACACCTGACAATAGTTTTATGCCTTTCGTACAGCTATTTGTATGTCAGATGTTTATATGCCAACGAATATATTTTAGTTGTTTTATGTTTCTTATCTACTTTGTTTAAATTATTATCTTTAACCTTTTTTCTGCATTATATTTTTTCCGTTCTTTGTCTTTGTCAGTCGACCTTCCCGATAGATCCAAAGCATCCAATAATGTGTCAGTCTTATTTATATCATATACGTTATTTACGTGTAACAAAAATATAAAATAATTTTTTAATGCATTTACAGTACCTGTGCCTGTACAAAATTTTCTATCCTAAGCACATGTCATTAAGTGTTTAATACCGCTTCCTCACCCTGCCAAAAAAGGTAATTTTCGTCAGAAATACCTATTTTGAGATTTATACATGGTTGGATAGCCCAAAGTGTCTACTTACGAATGTACTATGATTCATTGGTTTTACGAGGGTTTTACAGAGATTTTCCTGAAATACTCAAAAATTGATAAACGCTAGACAGCTCTAGGAGGTTTTAATCTGAAGCGAAGACTCAGCGTTACAACTTAACAGAGCAAAATTTTTATTTTCAGCTAAATTTTTGACAAAAATAAAGTTTCCGAAAAGTTAGCTGTAACTTTTTTCAACCTTTTAAAAGAAAACTTTCGGAAAAAATAAAAAATTTCAAAAATCCGACTCTTTTAAGTTGTAGCGACAAGTCTCGATTACCTTTTAACACAAACCTGAAGTCTGTATCATTATAATTGGAGGAAAATTTGTTTATAGACGAACACCTACTTTTTGACCCTTGATGTTAGAATAACTCTTGGAAATCTCAATATTTCGAGCTCAAATTTGTACTGTCAGCTGTCTAAGGTCAGGTACACATTCTACGAGAATTTCACTACGATCGGATGTTCTGAGACAAAAATAGGTTTTGACGGTGGGGCCTTAACACACAGATGGACTATGTATCGAGAAGATAGAAGATTTGTGGCTGAATTAGTGGTGCAGAATATGCTCATTTGCTCCAACGGCCTTTGGGGAAATTTTTCGGAAAAAAACTTTGAAAAATAGCGTTTGTGCTGAAAAATAATAATTGCAGCAGAGAAAATATTTAGATGCTCGCTATTCAGGCATCCTTTAGAAGTTTTTCATTCTTACGAATAGATTCTACACAACTGAGCCGAATTTACAGCAATATGCTGTAGAAATGCATCGTAATGACAGTTTATCAAAGGTTAAAACTACACATACGATCAATTTATTGCTCGCACTAGCACAAGAATTGTAGTAGCTATTATTTTTTTAAAACAATTTGAAATTAACTTAATGTTTTCTAGAGAATGGAGGACGATAAGAGTCAAAATCGACCCCCTCACAGTCTTATATTCGCAGATCTTATATAGTTTCTGTCCTCGATTACACCAAACATATTTTTAGACCTTAAAAAATCCTTTTTACTGACTGCCTCTGGGAAAAATAGGCAAAATTAATTTTTTTCATAGCTGATCACCAACAAAATATTTTTTGAAACTCTGTGAGGAGGGGTGTTGGATTTTAGGATATGCTAGTTCTAACGGCGTGCTCAGTTTTATCACATGACCTTACTGTGTGACTGGGTAGAAAACCACCCTTTTTTGAGAACCTTCATTTTACAAAAATTCTATATTTCTATGAACACTCATTGTTTAAATTTAATTTTTATACTGTTAAATACAACATTTAATGCTCTATCATACTAGTGTAAAGGATCTTTTCCACTACATCATATAGGAGAAATATTGAAAAACCATAATTTGAATAAGTTGTAACAATTGAAATCTATTTATCTCAACAATATTTACATGATACAAACTTTATTGATTCACCATTGAATAGAGCTTCAAAAACGCTATCTTGCTAGGGGTTTGCCAGCTTTTCAACTTATATTCTTGTTAAGCTACAATACCTTTATTAATAACCACATTTTATCATCATATGAAATCGCATTTTATCTCTAGATTTTGTTTACACATTTGATAAAAAAAAGAATGCATAGAAATGAAATAACGGATGAAAAAGAACATATATCAATACAACTTTTAAAGCTCTATACACAATAACATTATAAACAGAAAGCGAAAAATTTGTATTTTAGTGTAATGTCATTCACTGTTGGGACGAAAAAAATCTTGCTTGTTTTTTTCTGTAAAGTAAAATAGTCGCAATTTAAACTATACTTCTTGCTACAATAGTTCTATTTATAAACATTTATTGCTCTTCGTAAAATGAATGATCTCAGTAAAATACCAACGATCACTTTCAGTGACGTGGAGAAATTTATTGATAATCACAGTCATGGTATTGTATAAGTGTGATACGTGAGAAAAGTTTTTAAATTGTATGCTGAAAAGGGCTTTATTGCTCGAATGAAACTTGAAAACAATATAACATACTGTACAAATGTTTGTTTATTATTTTTTGTCACTACTTATTTCTCAATAATGGTATGTAATCTGACGACATGCAGCAATGAGAGAAGAACCAATCAAAAGAATGCACTAAAAAAGTGGAACTCATTTCTACGGAGTTTTTCCTACTTCATATTATAGCTGATGTCGAAAGCTTTCAAAATATATATTTAGAGTTCTCTCACGCGAAGTTGTTACTGAAATATCAATGTTTTTCCGGAAGCTGTTCTTGATAGCAACAGACTTTGAATTCTAGGAGTTGTTATTGTGGTAGTCTTGAAATATAAGGATTTGTCATACACGCTTTGAAAATACCTCATTTGTCTAATTTACTTATTTAAGACCACTTTTTTTGAAAAATACTAATATCCCATTAACGGCTTCAGGCCTCATCAAGTATTCTCACGGTGCAATTTACTTGAAAAAAAGCCAAGTATCCTGAACATTACTTTAGCAGGGTACCTAATGGATACCTATATTGAACTACATCCACTAGGGTATAAATCAGAATCGTTCTATATTGCACTGATTAAACAGTTAGTATTTTAACAAAGTTAGGAAAGAGAACAGTTGATGATTTAAATAGTGAAGTAATGAAGTACAAAACTGCTATATAAACATGATTAACTAATCATAATTTATTTATTTCATTGATATTTCGACAGAATCCACTGTCATCATCAGAATGAAAAAAGAAAAGTGTAAGTGAGTGTGTCAAAATTAAGACTATACATAGTCAAATATATAATGAAAAATATAGAACGAAAAAACGACACGTCCAGTCTGTATATGAGTAGAGTTCTTCAAGAAGCGCTTCTTTTTCTTAATTTTGACACACTCACTTACACTTTTCTTTTTTCATTCTGATGATGACAGTGGATTCTGTCGAAATATCAATGAAATAAATAAATTATGATTAGTTAATCACATGCTTATAGCAGTTTTGTACTTCATTACCTCACCAGTTAGTTTTAGTTGGGCGCGAAACAAGGAGACGCAATTTCACGTATATGTTACACTTTATGTTCGATGAGGTGGCAATTTTTAACTTGAATTAAAAAACTATTGATTCAAATAACTAAGAGACTTTTAGGAGAAAAAATAAAATGAATCAGATTAAAACGAAACGTTAGGTGTTGCAAGTAATTTTGTTCGTAATTACATTGTTTTAGCTCCAAGTTTGAGGATGTTGTGGATATCTGATGCATATTCGCGACATATCTTAACACAGAAACTATTGTATAACTGTTTGAAAGAATATTGCAAATTAATGGCGGTTTACGAATCACCTTGGGAAGATGTACTCCGATTTTATCATGAAACTTTTAAAACTTTTACAAGAATATGGGCATAAAAACCAAATACTAAAGTTAATCAAATATAGAAAATGACCAGTAAAATTCTGAGAATTCAAAAAAACATCTGTTATTGTAAGTTTAAATTAGCCCGTGGTATTTTGGCAGTAATTTCAAAAACAATAAAGATTGAGCACGACTGTGCATCCATATAGTTTGGATTATCGGTAACATTAGGATTGGTAATAGTTTATGGTCTTAGTTTTCCGAGTGTGCGTACAATCAGTTTTATTTCACGTTCATCTTGCAGCTGGTTGCCATAATCAATAATAATTTGTGTAGGAATGGTACTACCATATGTCTGACCGTGCAGATTAATGTTGTGCAATTGATTCTAACCAGTTATAACATCAGTAAGTAGAAGCATTGGCTCCGGTTGGATAATGAGCCGAGAGAGATCCAATGATAAGCAAATAACTGTTCTTTTGTTGTTTTTTTGCAACAGTAAAGCGGACAATTTCATAAAGTTCCGAGCTATTGCTCAAATCACCCCTTTTGTTGTGTTGATACAATATTGTATTAATCACCATTTTGCGTCTGATAGTCTAGTTTGTGAGTGAATCGTCCGAATTAATTCGAATTTTAATTCAAGATATTTTTTATAGATTGTCACAAAATCGTTCCATACTAACCAAGAAGCAGAGACTATTAATTAAACATAAAATGGAAATACTAACCACTGACTAACAGACATTGTAAATGCAAATAAAGCGTAGAGGAATGTATAACAAATGTGCTATCTAATCGCAGTATGAGATCAAATCTACATGAATGTAGCTCCAGTGCTGTACGAATCCTAATAACTCTAAATTTGACCTGTTTGTCGATTTTTTCTTGGTAATCTTTGTGTACTTGTTCAGTAAATTCTTTCCATTAATTATTAGCTTCTTTTGACATGAACAAAGCTTCCTCGACACTTCGATTCAGCGCTGCTAATGGGCAATCTGTGGATTCAGATGCAATTAAATGATTATTTGCATTAAACAGCATTATCGATTTTTCAATTAAATTCACCAAAATTTTTGTATGTATAATTGCA